CTCCTGCAGGCTCTCGGGTGAAATTGAAACTTAAACTGTCTGCTGAGCTCCTAACATTAGTTCTCACTCAGTGAAGCTCTTTTCAGTTTAAAAATTCCCTTGAGGACATGTATTTTCAGATGCCAAGTAAACTGTATCATGGCAGCCACTCCGCCTCCCCTCGCGAGCGCGAACACACACATACCGAAATGGGTGAGACAGAAGCGGAAGTTGGTTCTTAAAGAGACAGAGGCCAATTTCAAGGTGTTTAGCAGATGAAGTGATGAGAAGATAAGTTTATTTTCTATTTAAACATAAAAACAGCATTTTATTAACAACAAAAGTAACAACTAAAGGTGACATAGATACTTTATTATGGTATAGTATTTAAATGTATGCCTGAGAAACACATAAAATTGCCCCTTTAATAATATTTCTGTATTTATTTCAGATTTAGTCAGTTATACACTTAGTTCTTATCAGTGTTTAAAAGAGGACATGTTAAAATACTGTTTAGTCAAAGTTAAATATGAAATGTCAAAGTTCATTAAAACTGGCCCTTCGAGGGCCACCATAATGCTCATGTGGCCGTTGGTGAAAATGAGCTTGACACCCCTGGTCTAGAGGGAGTTTAAATAAACAGAGTGTAAAAAAAAATCACACAACTTAAAGCAAGTTCTAGAGAGGGTTGACAAACCACAATACAACAAAATGAACACACCACAACAAACACTGTAAACAGTTTCAAATTTATTCTGGTTGTTTGGCTGGCACTGCTGAGCCACGTAACAGTGCAACAACAAAAGACAAGACGGGGGAGGGTGCACTGCTCCGTGATGTGATTCTGTGCATTTTGAGGCTTGACCATCTGCATGTTGTGTGTTACAGGCATGGATGAGCTGATGGAGGTCTCCTTTTCCCCTATTGCTGCCACTGGAAAGCCCCTTTCACGCTGTGGCAAATGTCATCGTTTCATGAAGTACATCCAGGTGGGTAGTGGGAGTCAGATCTGTTGCTATTACTAAATTTTTACTAAATCATTACTTTTTTCTTTTTTTCATCGCTTCAGTAGAAAAAAGAACTTAATATTAGTTTCTTAATTTCTTCATCATCAGTGATATTTTTAAATAAAGAGGAAATAGGAAAAGAAGGAAAA